TAACCCTGTCTTAACACTTTCCCTGGTTTCTATTTTGATGTGAAAACATTTATAATACATGGGCTGACTCAATTTAGCAGGGTTTTCCACCATCCCATGTATTTCAGTTGCTGTTGTCCCTGTTTCATTAGCGTTTAAAAAAATTTCAAATTACTAAAGCAGTATGCAGTCTATCCCTGGGGATGCTCATGTCCCTCTTCTGTTTAATAAGCGTCTCCTTTAGAGTGTAATTAGATCTTTCAACAAATGCTTGTCCTGTAGGATTACATGGTATCCTTGTAATGTGTTTTGTATTATAATGCACAAAATTTGTTATATTTTATTGGAAACATAAGAGGAGGCATTATCAGTTTTAACTTATATTGGTATGCCCATTATACCCGTGGTATAAATGTGTAATTATAGAATCAACATTTTCAGAGCTTAAGGCAGATGCCCATTGTAATCCAGAGTATGTATCAAATGTATGATGAACATATTTTAATTTTCCAAATTCTGCTAAACAAAATATATCCATTTGCTAAATTTTATTTCTTTATGTACCTTTAGGATTAGTTTCTGCAGGTAAAGGAACTTGATTATACAAAGAACAAGCAGGACAGTTTTTTATAATTTCCTTACCTTGTCACCAAGTATTGGAAAATTTTTTCCTTAAGTCCCTATTATTAATGTGATGTTTCTTATGAAACTCTGAAATTTCCAACATATTTCCTATCAGTAATTGGTTAATCTCTTTATTTTCTTTTTTGAATGGCCCAGGCAACCCAGTATGAGATAATATGCGTAATATGAAATGGGCAATTCATTTTTCAGCTTGCATGTCTTGTAGTACAAATAATAAAGTTAATTCTGAATTACCAGGAATAAGTTCAGCACTTTTTATATGCAATACAACACTTTGTGCATATCGAGAATCAGTAATTATATTAAGACATTTGTTAAAGTCTAATGAAACCATCGTGATGGCATATAACTTTGATATTGTAAATGAATCATATGGATTTTGAAGTACTTACTGGTTTCCTGCTTTATAACCAGCCATTCCTAATTTATTTGCATCAGGATAAAATGTAACAGTCCCAGAAATAGGTGTTCTTTTTATTATGAGGGAAAGTATCTAACCAGTTGATTTAATTAATTGAAGTTGCTCTCTTTTTGGATTTTTGATATTAATTGCTCCTAAGAAATTACTATAAGCTCTTTAACAATCATCATTAATCACCCACATTTGCATAATTTCATCATTAATATAGGGTACTACAATCTCAGCTGGATTCATTCACAACAATTGACGGAGAAACATTTTTTATATAGGTCTTTAACTTTTTACTTTGTCTGTGAGATAGAAAAATTCATTCCAAATTCATTCATTGTTTTCTCTCTGCATAATGAACCCAGTAGGGGGATGATTGGAAGGTACAGTTATGGAAATACATTCAGTTGTGAGGTCTAGTAGATCTACATAGGCATTCTGTAGGTTTTATTCTACTTTACAATTCATTAAGAATATGTAATTGATCTCTTTTAATCTGTACTCTTTGTTTTGATACTCTTCAGGCATTTCCCCAACTTCCTACCATCAAGGCTTCCTAAATTTCCCACAGCTTTTGCAAACATCACAACCAACTGTGGACCAGTGATTCAAACACATGCACCTACAGGGTATGTTTCATGTTCAAAGCACAACTGTTCAAATGATACATTTCCTGTTCAAACTTACCCCTGATGACTAATAGACAACTACCTGTGGTTCAAAATACATGTGTTTCTATGTCCAAAGTCCACATAGTGTCAACACTAGCAATGATGTTCTAAAGTCTAAAGCTTAAGCAATCTCTTAACTATAAACATCTATTAAAAAAATCAAAGAGTTTACATACTTCAGTACACAAAGGCACAGAGTAAACATTCTCTTTTTGAAAGAAGAGTTGGGCATGACCAGAGCAAAGCAAACTGAATCATAGAGGGCACACATGGAGTCCTGGGGTCCTATATCTGACACAGACTTGTGATGAAATTGTTTGTGCTCCAAAAGGGCTCCCTTCCCTTGAGCAACACCTGCCGTCTCTTCAATTTAGGCTTGTTTGTGAACACCCAGGTTTGATCTCGTGTTCTCAGAAAATGACTGCTGAGCCAATGCCTGGTCTTGATGCTGCTTCAAGCCAAAAGTCTCCAAAGGGCATCTACATTTAGGGAATGGTTTGTGGTTGTTGGACGGGACCTCACATTCTTGGGCAATTAATACTTGATTGGTGACACTATTTGGAGAGTAGCCTTGCTAAACGAAGTGTGTCTCTAGAGAAGGACTTTGAGAGTTCAAAAACTCACACCAGTTCCTCATTTGTTCTCTCTGCTTCCTGATTGCAGTTAGAGACATGAG